AGTAAAAAATTAACTCTACTGTAGAATCGGAATTTATATTATTTTCCTGTTTTATAACCTCAAAAATTATTAAAACTTATGTTAGGAAAAAAAGGAAATTTTCTTCTATATTTAAAAATATTGCCTTACTGTAAAAAAATTTGTGTTAAACAATACCTATTTATGCAGCAAAGAAGAGAACTATATCTACAACAGTAGTGAAAGTGACGTCGATGAATTACAATCATTTAACGAGTGTGATAAGAGTGATGATTAAATGTGTATATAATAAAAATGCTGGATAATTAGATAATCAAAAACCTGTTTTTTTTATAATTTTTGAGGTTATAAAACAGGAAAATAAAATAAATTCCAATTCTACAGTGGTTTGTTCTGGGATTTATGTTTGTATCTGGAAAAATAATTCATATGTTAATTTTTTTGGATAATGATTTAATTATTATTAATGAGCGAAATAATAAGGCAAGCGCCAATCCCCGGACAAACAGGGTCCCTTACTGGTCACTTACTTACTTAAAAATAAATTAAAAAATAAGGCAAGCGTTACTCCACACAACTCGAGACGCTTACTGGTCGAATTATTTGTTAGTAATAAATATAAAAATTATGCAAGCACCGATTCCCACACAACCTGGGGCACAAACTGGTTGATTTAAATATGATTATTAAGCAAAATAATAAGGCAAGTGCCAATCCCAGCACAACCTAGGACGCTTACTGTCGCTGCCTTACTTAACAAAAAAAAAAAAAAAAAAAAAAAAAAAAAAAAAAAAAAAAAAAAAAAAAAAAAAAANCTTATAACTAATTTTTTTTTTTTTCAACAAACATCAATCAGACATATTATTTTTTTTTTTTTCAATCTAAATACACGTATTTGCAAACTTTTTTGTTTGTCCTGTTCAAGCACTTGGAGAATTCATAACTTTAAAAAAATTACACATTTCCTTATAAAAGTCATTCTGGTTAATAATTTCACCGCTAGGTAATTCAACAATAAAATCCTCCAGTGGGTCGTCATACACCGTGCACGAAAAACTATCAAAAAATGCATCCAGCAGCGATCGTTTTTCTGGTTGTAGATGTTGATGCGTTGATTGGGGCTGCTGGTGCTGCTGTTGTCCTGGCTGCGGGAGAAGCTGCTGCTCTAGTTCAAGTACATTGACTTGGCAACTATAGTTGGGGCCGTTTACATGATTTCCTTCGATACTGCTATGAAGAAAACGAAAAAAACAAAAAAACAAAAAAATTTACATCTTTGAAAGAATTTTTCTTAAATAAGATAACGTCATGAAGCTTAGAGCCGGAACAAATTGTGTTAATTAGTTAGAAGATTGTAACTTAAGTGCTTTTTCCCTCAGAGAAATTCGTAAATTAAGTAAATAATAAAATTTTTTTTTACCTGGAGTAATGAGCAGCAACAGAAAAATGATGGTACACTTTGTCGGTCGAAGTTAAAGGTACCGTGGCTTTTGAGCTTGTCAGGTACGGCATCTGCTTTGCAACTTCAAGTTGTTGAGCAGCTACATCACATGGACGCAAAAACGGTTGCTGCTGGATTCCACAACCATAGAATTGCTTTTGTGGCATCCACGATTGTTGTCCCTGCTGATTTAAGGTGGAAATGGGCGGTTGTGCGGGGTACAGTTGTTGCTGACCAAACAATGGTGGCTGGACATGCAGGGATTCGTAGCTGATCACAGATTCTACTAGATCCAGCATATTATGGGGTCTTCGTGCTTTTTTCACAATGTTTCCGCTATCAGGGCTGTCTCTATTTTCTTTCTTTACTTTCGATCGGCGATTTTGAAACCATATTGTTACTTGATTTTCCGTAAGGCCCATCTCTTTCGCCAATTGTACTCGACCAGCAATGGACAAGTAATTATCCATGTCGAATACTCTTTCGAGCTCCACAATCTGCGCTGAGCTATACGACGTCCTCTTTCTTTTTTTATTCAATGGATCTGGACGGTATAAAGACACGTATTAAATTAGATGCATTTTAATATTTTTAAATATAATTATTTGGTAAATAAAATACTTACTTTCCTCCATCTGGTTTTGGGGCCTTAGCTTCTGAGCGGCATTGAATACTTCTTTATACTGCAATTCCATTCTTTCTGCAGAGGTAACTTTATTCTCTACTTCTCGTTAATTTCTCTAATGTAGCTTTAGCAAAGGCTTCGTCGAGAACTTTTGCACTATATTCGAACACACGATTATAGGATCTTGTGAAAGGTTTCAGTCTGAATCCAACTTACACACTGGACTTTTGCACCAAGATTAAGGCTTTATATCCCTTTTGCGGTACTTACTGACTGAGGAGCCTCACGCCCTTTTTTCTTATCAATGAGTTAAAAAGCTATTAAAAAGCTATTAAATAGGCCCTCCTAAATGTTAATGACTAATTCGTGCTGAGGCTTAAAGTTTTTCTTGGTACACATGCTGATTACTGTATGAGTAATGGTACAAATACATTAGCGTCAGACTGCATCGATTTGGTTTATAAGATTTCGATCGTATGCGTTACTTTCTTCCAAGATTCCAAAAATTTAAAGTTACCTACGAAACTAAAACAAAAATAAAATTAAAAAATGGCTAATGGGTCGAAACAAACAAATAGCGTTTCACGCAGAAAGAGTATAGTTTCATGTTATAAGACAAAATAAAAGGATTCATATTTTCAAAGAAAACTCAAATTTGATATGTCTGCTGCTAAATCCAATTTCAAGGATGAAATAGGAATTTTTTTTTTAAATTTGACTAGCACGTACCGTTGTACTTGTTGATATGACAGTACTCAAAAAATATAACGATTCGTGGTGATGTAAAATTTGTAATATATAATCGTTTTGTTCCAATAATCAGCAGAAATCAAAGCAGGCTTCTCAGCCAATTTCTCACATTCTTCATTTCATCTTTCGATTGACATTTACACCAAAACGTGCTCTTCAATAGCTAAATTTTTCTTTTTTATGTTACTACGTTAATGTCATTACATTTACTTTAAAATTAGCAAAACAATTCCATTATTATCGATACTTTTTATGAAACAAATCTCCCCGATGTTAGTAAGTTAACCTGATTCGCATCTTCTATTGGAAACAAAGTCGCATAGCTGTGCAGTTAACTTTTTATTACTGTTAAGCTGTAAATAACATGTATATTTCAACATTATATAGTTGTTTGTGGGCCAATCCACACAAGCATCCACGTCTCCCTCCTCCCAAAAAAAAAAAATCATAATGCAAAATTAAATCTTCTTTTCCGTAATTTCGACTCATTACATTTTTTGTCAACACCCCACCACTCGCGCCTACCCCCACTTTTTTATGGATCCTCCCCCACCCTTACAGCCCCTACCAACCACCCACACTGCAATTGGAATTTTTTTTTTTTTATTGTTCAGTAAGTAAGCGACCAGTAAGGGCCCCAGGTTGTGTGGAGATTTAAACTTGCCCTATTTTTTTATTTACTGTTAAGTCAGTAAGCGATTAGTAAGCACCCTGAGTTGGGCGAAGATTAGCAATTGCCTTATTTTTTTAATCATTACTAATAAATATATTGACCAGTAAGCGCCCCGGGTTGTGTAAGAATTGGCGAAAGCCTTATTTTTTTGTTTGTTACTTGTAATTCAATCAACCAGTAAGCCCCTGGGGTTGTGCGGAGATCGGCGCTTGACATATTTCTTTATTAATTGTTAAGAAAGTAAGTGACAAGTAAGTATCCTGGGTTTCGCGGAGATTGGCGCTTGCCTTATTATTTTATTTATAAGTAATAATTAAAACACATAGTAGGTGCCTCCGGTTTTGCGGAGATTGGCACTGGCCTTGTTTTTTCATTCATTACTTATAATTATATCGACTAGTAAGCACCTGAGATTGTGCGGAGATTAGCGCTTGCCCAATTTTTTTATATATTAGAAATAATTAAATCGACTAGTAAGCATTCCAGGTTGTTTGGAGATTGGCACTTACCGAATTTTTTTATTCATTGTCAAGTAAGTAAGTGTCCAGTAAGTGCCCCGGGTTGTGCGGAGATTGGCATTTGCCTTATTTTATTTTATTTATTAATAATATTTAAATTGACAATTGAGCGTCCTGGGTTGTGCGCAGATTGGCGCTATTCTAATTATTTTCTTTACTAATTAATTTGACCAGTAAGCACCCAGAAGTGTGCGGAGATTGTAACTGCCTTAAGTTATTATTCATGAATAATTATCAAAGCGACTAGTAAGCCCCTTGGGTTATGCAAAAATTGGCGCTGGCGTTATTTTTTTTTTTATTTCTCATAATTAAAGCGACCAGTAAGCGTCTCAGGTTGTATGAGGGTTGGCGCTTGTCTTATTTTTTTATACATTACTGATAAATAAATGGACCAGTAAGTGCCTTGGGTTGTGTAGGGATTGGTACTTGCCTTATTTTTTGTTTATTACTAATAAATTAATCGACTAGTAAAAGTCCTGGGTTGTGCAGAGATTGGCACTTGACTATTTTTTTTATTATTGTTAAGTAACCAAGTGACCAGTAAGCGCTTTGGGTTGTGTAGAGAATGGCGCTTGTCTTATTTTTTTATACATTACTGATAAATAAATTGACCAGTAAGTGCCTTGGGTTGTGTAGGGATTGGTACTTGCCTTATTTTTTTATTTATGAGAAATAATTTAATCTACCAGTAAGCGCACCAGGTAGTGTGGGGATTACCGCTTGCCTCATTTTTTTGTTTATTGTTAAGTAAGTAAGCGACCACTAAGCGCCCTGGGTTGTGTTGAAATTGGCACTTGCCTTATTTTTTTATTTATTACTAATAAAGAAAGCGACCAGTAATCGCCCCGGTTAGTGCGCGGATAGGCACTTAACTTATTTTTTATTTATTGTTAAGTAAGCGACCAGTAAGTGCCCTGGCTTGTGTGAGAAATGGCGCTTGCCTAATTATTTCATTTATTTTTAAGTAAATTATTGACCAGTAAGCGCCCTGGGTTGTGCGGGGATTTGCACTTGCCTTATTTTTTATACTTATTATTTATAATTCAAGCGACCAGTAACAGGAATAAGAATAGCCTGG